GTTCGTTGATGTGATGGCAGGTATGTGCTGTGAATCAGATTCTGGATTTGGTTGCCTACGATCACATATATACGTATTATTGTGAGAGACCCCAGCAAAACCATGAGAAGTGATCGTCACATACTTAACCCTTATATATGTATACATGAGTATACTTGGGATGAATGTTTGCATGGGTTGAAGAGCCCCCACATTAGAGCCCCACTCAGAAGCTGAGACTGAGGGGCTTAGGGGAGGTCTCTCCTTTTATTCTTGTCTCTTGCTTTGTGATGATTTTCTTAGTCGGACGTTTGGTCCTGGGCCGGGATTCGAGATCCTTGTCCAGGACATCCCAAGCCCTAGGCTCTGCAGGGGAGGGGTTTCCCTCGCGAAGAGCCTATTTGATCTGCCTACCGAGACACTCAGGTCGAGAGCCTAAGGTGCAGCGGCGGATGCACGACTATTCCTTCAGCCGTGCAATGTCGTGAAGGGTTAGGCCCTCACGACACTTCAAGCCTGACACTTGAGTGTCATAAGCGGTACTCGGATCCACAAGGGACCGCTTGATTATGGACACTACATGGTACGCCATCGTTGCGACTACTTGTGTATGCCTGCATTGCAAGTCGATATGAGTATGCCCTGCGTCCGCGCAGTTTTACACTAAGTTCAACGCGCGACGCCTATCCGATTTCCATACTGGAAAGTTATGGGTTGGCTACCGAGGGGTTGTTGGTATTGTGTCATTTCGTATATGTGTTGTTTTGTGTGTATGTGTGTTCGTAAAGTGGAGTGCGCGTGGTGTGTGGGATGCGTCCTAGTCGACCGACGATGAGTCGCGCTTGGGACCTCAGCCCCCCCAAGATGTCGGTTCGCGTGCGGGTCCGATAGAGGCGTATTACCGCGCGTACCTCCTATGCTACAGCGAACGAGAAACGCCCTCAGCTGGTCCACCTCTGCGATTGCAACTGATTAGCTTTCGTACTGTGGACTGGTAGCTTGGCGGGGATACGCCCACCGAAGGGAGGTGACAGCTCCCGTAAGGTGTAGGTAAGTTGTGCCTCGCGTAGGCCCTATCCTGTCGTAGGGGCTCGCGAGAGGTATGGATGGCGCACCTGGCCGGACCGGGTTGTGGAAGCTCCATGTATATTGCGACGAAGGGTTCTAAAAACCAACTCTTGCGTGACGCGGCCGGGAGGGTCCCGCGCTGCCCCCGTGCGGTGTCGGACCGATGCGCCTAACACCGATCAGGTCAGGACTTGTATCTAAGTTTTCCACTGCGCTATAAGGCACCATTCTTGTATGTATCGTAATGCACACTGCTTGTTTAGATTCTACTTGCAGTGCATTGTCGATTCAGTCCTTTTTATCACATTACGGATCCTCGGTTATATATGTACATCGCCCAACTGGGCATGTAACACCAGTCTGTACAAGCAGATCGAACATTTACACAACATGTCTACTTCTCAACATATGTATAGGGAAGTTGGACCCATTTTTCAGCAGGTGATACCCCCCACCAATAGATGGGCCCCCCGAGACTGCTACTGTCTTCACCCGAATACAACGTACGGTCATTATTGTTGCAGCTAGACTCAAAGTTGCATCGAATACAGTTGTAATGACCGTACGTTGTATTCGGGTGAAGACGGTAGAGGTGACTGCTTTTACCAGCACCTCTAGCATCAACTCGGGTCGTTTCTTTATAATAAAAAAAAAAAAAAAAAAAAAAAATCTTGTAGAGACCCTCTGCAACACAGGAACCCTACTAGGACCGGCCATAGACTTTACTAAGTCTCACTCTCATCAACTGTTCCCATTTGTACGGGTGGTATGTAAGGTCCTAGTTTCTTCAAACAGACATCGCCCATGCAGCGTACTAAGTTGCACGCTCATCAACCATTCCATTCCATGGGCGAGCAGGCCTTAGTGGGAGCGCACATCCTAGCCCCTCCTGTGCCTAGTGGCTAACCCCCCCAGATCTCCAGCTAGCAACGAGCCCCCTTCTAGTCTCTACTCTTACCTCCAGAGACCTACCAGCACCGACCACAGACTGTACTAAGTCTCACTCCTTATCAACCGAGACTCCGTTAGTAGTGACGAGCGAACGCGGATGAGGAGCACCCCGCACAGGCCGCTGAGACTCTCTCTCTCTCTCTCTCTCTCGCCCACGCGCGCGCGCGCGCGCGCGCGCAAGAGAGAGAGAGAGAGAGAGAGAGAGAGAGAGAGAGACTTTCGAAGTTTTTTGTTTTTTTTTT